ACAGTTCTGGTACTGAGATAATAGGCAAGCTAAAAATTGTGGGCAAGGTCCAAAACAGTGATGAAGGTTGATAGTACTTATTTGAACTCTTTTTGTTCACTTTCAGAAGGCTGTACAATTTGTTCATAACAACAGTCCATCCAAGAAAAGTAAAAGAAGCAACAACAAACCCGTCAGCTGAGGATGTTATTTGTTTCTACAAATTTCTGTACATTGGGAGTTGAAGGGCTCACCACAAATTAATAAAAAGGGTGGTACCCCTTTCCACTTCCTGGCTCCACCCTAATCCCTGCCACCATTAACACAGTTTGGTCGTCAAGGTTTGCCTAATTTGTGTTGCTGCCCACACACTTTTTCTTATCAAGGAAGTTAGAAAAGTAGACTTTCCTTGTGAGCATAGAAAGTTGGCATGAAATCTGCTTGCTTCCACCTTCAGTGTAAAATTCACACATGGCTCTGTTCACTCTTGTGAGCATAGTCATTAAGTCCTCCTTGTGAGAGTTCTCACATAGAACCTGTACTAAGCAAGAGATGAACCAGGAACCCAGACTTTCCTTATGTGTTTCAGCATATCTTCTGTCAACTGTGAAGCGTCTGTGAGAGATTGTGCCTTTGGTGGTAGAGTAGGCGATCAAAAAATCTGCATCAGAGGGAAGTTTTACAGGCATCTCATTGTTGTCAGATGTATCAGGATTAACTTCTTTTGGCCCTCTTGGTGCAAAGTACCCTTTGTCATCAATTTCTCCTCTGCATGCTTGAACAAAGAACAATTTTGGTTTTGTTGCAAGCTGAGGACAAGCATCATTGTTTCCCTGGAATTTCTCCATTATGGTCTCCACTGAAATAGTTTTATGATCTCTGCATAAAATACCTTCTTCGTTGCCATGGCTCATAATAATGCAGATAAAACTGTCATTTTCAACTGTACGGAATAACAAAGGAAATCAATATTGCATCAGTTGCAATTCAAAGTATTGAACAGAGGTAGAGGGAGCTTCACTGCAATATAATTTAGGCAAAAAATTATTTTGGCAACTCAGAATTTCCCTTTGGTTTTAATACCACACCTTCCTGTGAGTGCTTTTATCAGTGAACAAGGAAAAAATTCTGAGATCTTCATACTCATTTTAGACAAATCAAACTTTGAATTACACCTCTTCTGGACGCCATAGAATTGGGGAGTAGAAGTTGGAAACGTTGCAAATAGATATGGCAATAGGAAATCTTTTTTTAGAACCTAACACTTTAGGAGTAAAATATATATATTTAGCCAAGCCTAAAAGCGGAGCTCGCATATTTTTTCCCGCACGTCTCAAGGGCACAACGCCTTGCCCTGGCCAGGACTAGAACCCGGGTCGTCCGACTCGGAGCCCAGTGCACTGACCACTGGACTACTGGACAAAACCGTGGCGTTGGCGTGCCCGCGGTACAGTTGACCACGCATGTTAAAAGTAGCACCTTGTACGGTCGTACACCCAAATTTTTTCGGCTTGATGGGTTACTGCTATTTTGTATAATTATGGGGCTACGCTCTGCGAGATCCGCTATTACTTTGCTACAGCAGCTAACTTCCGGTCTAATCGAAACTTAAAGTGCACGAACCCTCATGGATGTAACAAAAATAGAGACTACATGTAGAGCTACTGACCCAAATCTGCATTTTTTCGGGTTTCTTCAAGAATTTTCAGCATTCCTTGTTTGTCCAGGTCAAAATGCATCAGAACATTGCTGAAACCAGCTTCTCTGACAAACCTCTCCACGTTATCTTGATCGTGTTTAGCCCCATTCCTTGGTCGTGGGTCCTTGATAAAGTTTACAATGTTAATCACCAGCACGTAGGGATTCCGTATTTCTCGATACTCTTGATCTTTTGGAAGATTATCTCTTGCGAAGAGAAAGTTTCTTGGACTTAAATCGAGTATTTGAGATGCATGCATATATGCAGGCGAATCTGATAGTTGATAGACCAACCCTTGAGAAGTCGAAGGCGGAGCTGATAAAAGATGACAAATAATTCAACTTTAACATCGTGTCGTTCTTCGATCTTTAATATTAGTTATTACTTCAATCACGTAACATGGAGCTTTTTCAGTCAGACTTGTCAAACTTACAACGGAATATGATGTAATAGTACCGATTGATCCCTCATTTCGATTTTTGCGCCCTTTGCTGACGAAAGGAGAAGCCTCGAGGAATTTCTAAAGGACGACGCAAACATCAATACTTTTTTTTACTTTACTTAAGAAAAAAACCCTCACCGTGCATCAATTCCGTTTGAGAACTGCTATCTTGATAGAATCCTTCACATTCGTTAGAGACTCCCTCGTCATCTTCATTCACGCAGTTGCATCCTTTTCCATCCAACTTTAAGTATTCACATCGACGAAATCGCTCTAAAAGACTTCGGCATATTTCGCAAAGAAAATATCTTTCACTTGTTTTCTTCGGAATCGACCTCAACTTAGCGCTCTCCATCGTTCACCTACTGCTCCGTCGTTAGTTTTAACTATATAGGAAAGATGTGTCGTGTTTATAGGCTGGGTGTCCTTACGCAAGTCCTGATGAGCGTCAGTTATTCTACCGAAAATCCAATAACAAAGCACGAATGAATTGTCGTTATTTCAAAAAAGCTACGTGATGCTGTAACGTCTGAAAATAAAAGTTCAATTCAAATTAGTGCCATGAATGTTAAGTCGTAACTGAATGCTGTTACTTTCGAGAGTTCCGTTAATTTTTACTCCGATTTTTCAAGTCATGTGTTTTCTCTCTCGTTGCACCTCGGAGGTTGCCTTTCCTGTTTCAGAACGATTCATAGATTCATTGCTTTTGACCTTCAGATAGTGTCCTTGTTAAATTTAGTAAACACCAGTGTTTCAGATTGTGTGACAAGATTTCGGTTTCCGTAATTAAAAATATCTGTTTGACATCATATTTTACTCTTTAATTCGTTCTGTAGGCGTGATTTTAAATACTTTACTTATCAGTCAGTTGTAGAAGATTTCTCAGCTTGCGGGCAGCGAGTTGATAAAGATCAAAAAGACAAATTTTACATCACGCAGGCTTCTTAAGAATTAAGGTGTCTCTGAAATTTCCCTGTTTTCTATAAATGTTTATAAAGAGATCGATACTAGTTAAAAAAGTGCGTCAGTCAGTAATCAGGTCCGAAACCATAACTACATATTTTTGGAGAATGTAATGTAGGTACGGTTACACGTAGGCTAACCTGTGTGCAGCCGCTTCCTACCCGTCCTTTACCGATTAGAAGAATGGGTCTTACAGATTTTTCCGAACGTGTCGCCCCATGAAAGGTAATCCAGGACAGTATTAGGTTCTGGATTCCACGCTGTGGATTCCAGATTCTACCCCTGCATATTCCGGATTACGTCTCAAATTACTTTTTTTAACTTTCCTATTTAACAAAGACCAAATTAAGGAAAAATTGAAACTAAAATACAACTTTTATAACACCCCGTATATGTCACAAATAAATCAGATCAATCATCGCAGACCATGACTAAGAAAAGCTTGTTTTTCTATATGTAATTGGCGATGATGTTCGACATTACGAGATTGCCCATAAAACGGTGTTCAACCAACTTAACTATACTTAAACCTTTGCAAAACCGCGAAAGATCTGCATTTACACGGTAATTTTCCAAGAATAACAGATTCTCTTTTCTATATTTCCTTTTTTTCTTTAAAAGGTTAACCAAGTCAAGTCACATTACGTCGGCTATGAATTCTCCGTAGCAATAAAGGTTTAAGTTGGCCCGCTGCTATTTTCTTTCCTAGAAAATGTTGTTTGACTCTAAAATCGAACAGTCAGATTTTTAGAGCCTGTTTCTTTAATCAGGTCATATTATTCTGATATATTAAAGTTCATAAGGCAACCAGGTGGACAATCAAACATGGTTTGAAGCTAAATGAATAAAGGGGTAAGTTTCTAAAGAAACTGTGGTGCTGCGTCGGTGGGA